ATACATGTATGGCCTTGGCCTAGACGGGCAATCTAGGTTTGCCCATAAAATTAATAAATATACATTATCTATACTACTTTAAAAAGCACGAATAGCCTCAAGAATATTTCTAGAAATTTTTAAGGACAAAAGTTACCCCTCCATATTTAAATTTATTGATAAAAAATGTGGGTAAATAGGGTAATCAGTTATTGATATTAAATGACTTGAAAAGTGGTAATGTTAAGACATTCAATTCTCTCTCATTAAATCCAATATTTAAGGAATTAACTTACATTCACCTTCATTGAATCATATACTTAAAACATTTTTTGTTTCATTTCATCATTAAGTTCTATTAATTAAATCCATGCATAATAAATTAATAATTCCAATAACATAAAAATTTATACTTTTAAAATCTATCGGGAAAAAAATAGTGTTTTCATCTAGGTGGTGGTAAGAAACTAAACCATTTTGGGTCAAATGGGCCAACCCATGTTGCCATAATTAAATAATAAAATTCAAAATAGATAAAATGTAAAAAAAGAACATTTTAGCATCACATATTCGACATATTAAATAATAATAAGTATGATAAATAAGAAATACTTTTATTAATGATGGAAATGGAATGTAAGATTTAAAACCAATTGGATATATTGTCTCATTAAATCTTATATTTAAGATATATTTTTGATCATTAAATTCTACTAATTAAAGCAACAACGTTAATTTTAATAGTCTAAAAATAAATATTTTGAAAAGTAAGTTAAAAATAAAACTATTTTCTTCCCTCCCAGTGATGGGTAAGCAATTCAACCATTTGGGGTCAAATGGGTTAATAAATAATGACAATTAAATAATAAAAAATTAAAATAAATAAAAATATATAATACAAAAATATCTCTAATATTGTATATTCATTATATGAAACAAAAATAAGCATGAAACATAATAAGTATTTTTATTAATGATGAAAATGAAATTCCAAATTTAAAATAAACCTAGAAACGAAATTATGTCATAGTCAAATAATAAAATTTTCAAAAATAGAAAGTGCAAAGAATTACAAAAATAAAAATAGAGAAAAATTCGGGTACATATCTAATGTTATATATTTATAAAAAATAAAATATTGGGTACCTCTATAATATTATACATTTATTTTATTGAACAAAAATAAGTATTATACATAAAAAATAATTTTATCAATTATGGAAATGTAATACAAAATTTAATGTCAACCTAGAAAGGAAACTATTTTTCTTTTTGGGTTGTGTGTTAGAATTTGGGTCAAATGGATTGATCAGTGACAAAATAGTTAAATAATAAATCTTTAAAAAAATTAAAAAGTACAAATAATCAAAAGAATAAATTAATTATGTCGAACAAAAATTAAGTGTGATAAGTAAGAAATATTTACATAATGTAGATGAAATATATGATTTAAAACTGATATGAAAGCAAAGGTATTTTCTTATTTAGATGATGGGTTTGTCAATGGTTCAACTTTTCAAAGAAACTCGTGATGTCATAATTGAATAATAAATATTAAAAAAAAGATATAACACAAAAAATGAAAAGGTATAAAATTTTGTTAAAAAAACATTTGAGAGCATTTCTAATGTTTTATATTCATCATGTTAAATAAAATTAATTGTTAAAATAAAAATTCATGTTGTCATTATTAAATAATAAAATTCAGAAATAGATAAAATGTAAAAAAAAATGTATGATTAAAAAATTGGAAACATTTTTAACATCATTTATTCATCATATTAAGCAATAATAAGTATGATAAATAAGAAATGTTTTTTTAATGATGAAAATGGAATGTAAAATTTAAAACCATTTGGAAATAAAGCTATTTCCTATACTCTCTCATTAAATCTCATATATAAGGTATATTATCTCATTAAATCCTATATTTAAGATATGTTTTTCTCAACATTTAATTCTACTAATTAAATCCACAACATTAATTTTAATAGTATAAAAATAAATATTTTGATAATTAATTTGAAAGCAAAACTATTTTCTTTCCTCTTGGTGCTAGGTAAGCAATTCAACTATTTTGGGTCAAATGGGTTAAAAGATAATGCCATAATTCAATAATAAAAAATAAAATAGAATAAAATATTAATACAATAAAGAATTGGGTATACCTAATATATTGTATATATATTCATTATACTAAACAAAAAATAAATATGAAATGTAAGACGTGTTTTTATTAATGATGAAAATGAAATGCCAAATTTAAAATCAATCTAGAAATAAAATGGCATCATAGTCAAATAATAAAAATTTTAAAAATAACAAATGCAAAGAATCACAAAAATAAAAAATATAAAAAAAATTGTGGACACATATCTAATGTTATATATTTATAAAAAATAAAAAATATTGGGTACATGTCTAATATTATGCATTCATTATATTGAACAAAAGTAAGTATTATAAATAATGATTAATTTTATTAATAATGGAAATGTAATACAAAATTTAATGTTGATCTAGAAATCAAACTAATTTCCTTTTTGAATGGTGGGTTAGTGGTTTGGGTCAAATGGGTTAAGTGATGATATGATAGTTAAATAATAAATCTTTAAAAATTAAAAAGTACAATTAATCAAAAGAATATATACAAAAATTATATATTAATTATGTGAAACAAAAATTAAGTGTGATAAGTCAAAATTATTTATATAATGTAGATGAAATATATAGTTTAAAACTGATCTAAAAGCAAAGCTATTTTCTTATTTGGATGGTGGATCAATGATCCAGCTTTTCGAAGAAATCCATAATGTCGAATTGAATAATAAATATTTTAAAAAAAGATAGAAGACAAAAAATGAAAAAGTATAGAATTTTTTCGAAAAAAATTTGGAACATTTCTAATAGTATCATCATATTAAATAAGAATAATTATTAAAATAAAAATTATTTTTTATTATGACAAAAATGGAATAAAAATTTAATAATAATAATAATAATAATAATAATAATAATACTAATACTAATAATAATAATAATACTAATAATAATAATAATAATAATAATAATAATAATAATAATAATAATAATAATAATAATAATATAATGATGATGATGATGGTGATGATGATGATGATGATGATATTGTAATTTAAAATTTCCATGTGCATATATTTATTGCAAGTATTTAAATTTATTTTTAATCATGTTATTACTTTTGTAAATTTTCATTTTCTATCTTAACTATGATATATCTAAAATTCAAGTAATTAATATGAAGAAAAAATTATTACGTGCAATGCATGTACTTAATTACTAGTTAAATCAAAATTATACAATATATATTTTTATATGTATTTTAATTTACTAACATATATTATTTATAAGGATAGATTCCAAAGACCCCCCTGCACTATGGGGTTTGTGACAAAGACCCCCTTCAGTTAGCCTTTCATCCGAAAATATGAGAAATCCACCGTTGCAATATTTTTTAATCCCCATACTACCCTTATAATAATTATTCAGACAACTTTAACCCTCTTTTTGTGTTTTATACGTTTTCTTACCTTATTTCTCAAGCTCCGAGTTACAGTAGAAGGAACATCTCCCTCACGAGTTTCAGCCGCACGGGATTTCTTCCTTACAAGTTTCAGTCACAAGCCACTGTGACCAAGGGAAATTAGAGCTGTACTCAAGAGCTGATACTAATTGTTGCAATCGAACGAGCTTCTTCTAATACCCAAGGAGGTGAAAAGGCAATACCAATAAACAAATTTAAAACTTTTGCGACCACAAAAGCAAAGCCCCTTCCTCGAGGTTGGAACAAAATAATCTTGAGGTAAGACAAAATAGAGGGAAAGTCAGGGAACCCAAATCACCGAAACGGTTGCCGGAAAATATGCTTTAATCCCGGAAATCTAATCTGAATCCAAAATCGACTACCATGAATTGCATTCTGCATGTGGGTTTGTCTCCAAGAAAAGAGGGGAAAAAAAGAATCTCTAGGAATCACGAGAAAACAATACCAAGCATGGTCATTATCCCAAGAGCTAAAAAACGGCATTGAAGATTGGGAAGGCCTAGTAAGCACAATCAAAAAAAGAGTAAAACAACAAAAAATGAAAATTGGAAAGTGATTAGTAGAGAAGAAAGAGATCCCAACATTTTGAGGGAGAAAGCAAGAAAGAGAGAGATGACCTATTAACGACCAGAACTCCAAAACAGAAGCTCAAAATGCAAAGAGAGAAACCCATCTGGTTGAGAGCCCGCCTCCACTCTTTTGGTGCCTGCTCACGAGCATCAACCCCATCAAGAGCTATATGCCTCTGCAGAGCTTCTTCCTGCTGTTGTTGTTCGAGTGTTACTGTATCACAGAGAAGAAGCAAAAGGTGCCATGGGAGAGGGAGAAAGAGGCTCAGGAATCTGAGAGTTTGCAACAAATTGATGAGTATATTTTAAAAAGCAGTCGGACTCATTTTTAAAAAACAAACAAATATGTTCGGTGGGTGTCTATTTTCACCGTTTTGAAAATGCTAACTCCACTTGTGGAAGTTATTTTCGTCAAATGACAACTTTAACGGGGAATAGTACAAGGGGTCTTTGTCACAGACCCATAGTTGTAAGATCCGTATTTCTCCGTTTATAATTTTATACAACACATGTCGAGCAGGCTAGGCAATGCGGACCCAAGCAAAAATGATCAACCATACAGTGCAGGTCAGGTTGAGGCCAACCCTGAACCACCTTGAGTTATCCCCAACCCCAACCCTAACCCTAACCCTAACCCTAGCCCTAATCCGACTTTACATTTTTTTCCCGGGTTGGATCGAGTAAAAATGTTCAAATGGAGAAGAGCTGAAGAAATCCATACAATGTATATTGGCTTTGACTCATGGGACACGTGTACGGTCTGTGTTGAAAAAAACCATGAACCTCTATGGGGCTCGAAACAGCGTAGGAACGGATAACAGAGCTGTCGAAGGGTTGGTGGAAATTGTTAGGTGTACAAAATGGACGCAGAAAAAGCAAAATATAGATTATAGACCGTAGAGCAGACACAGACACAGAAAGGAGGAAAGGAAAGGAGAGACAGAAGACGGAAGGCTTCGGCGCTTCGCTATCCAACCACCCATCTCTCTGCACAACCTGCTACAATGGATCCCAACCTCCAAACTGTAGAGCAGCCTGAGTGCAAAGTAGAAGAAGACCAGGACGAAATTACCATTTGTTCATCCAAATCCTCAACATCCATCACTCCTCTATCTACAGCTTCCATCTCTCTCTCCCTCTCAACCGTCCTCCCAACCCATTTCCTCCTTCCCCCCAAATCCTCTCTACTCTCCCCTCATCCCACCAAGGTCAAAATCCCTTCCCAGATATCTTCACTATCTCACCTCTCTCTTTCTTCCTCCGTTGCTCCTCCCAAACCATCGTTCAAGTCTACCATCTCGGCTTCCCCACTTCAAATCCCCCTCTCCCGTGGCCCCCGCCGATCTTCCGATCCGTCCAACCCCACCGGCGTCCGTCGCTCGTCCATCGTGTGGTTCCGCAACGACCTCCGTGTCCATGACAATGAATGCCTGACCTCCGCAAACAACGAGTCCATATCGGTCCTTCCGGTTTACTGCTTCGACCCCCGTGACTACGGTAAATCTTCGTCCGGGTTCGACAAGACAGGTCCTTACCGTGCTACATTCTTGATCGAATCAGTGTCAGATCTTCGGCGGAACCTCCAATCCAGGGGGTCTGACCTTGTTGTCAGAATTGGAAAGCCGGAGGTGGTGTTAGTTGAGATGGCTAGGGCGATTGGGGCCGATGCTGTGTATGCGCACAGGGAGGTTTCGCACGACGAAGTTCGGGCGGAGGATAAGATTGAGGCGGCGATGAAGGAGGAAGGTGTGGAGGTGAAGTATTTCTGGGGGAGTACATTGTACCATGTTGATGATTTGCCTTTTAAATTGGAGAAAATGCCATCGAATTATGGTGGGTTTAAGGAGAAAGTGCAGAGGTTGGAAGTGAGGAAGACAATTGCTGCATTGGATCAGTTGAGGGGTTTGCCGGCGAGAGGAGATGTGGAGCCCGGTGAGATTCCCACCTTGTTGGATCTGGGTCTCAACCCATCTGCCACAATGGCTCAGGTTCGTCTCTTGGTTCTACTTATTGTATTTATTCAATTTTCTTTATATTCTCCATCACATTTTGTTAAACTTCATGCTGCATTGCTTCGGTTTATTATTTTCCTTTCGGCTAGAAATTTCGTGGATACATTCAGTACAGTTAACACTCTATCAAAATGATAATTGTGAAAGAAAACCTTGATATTAAGTAATGGAAGTATTGCAATCAAGGGGTTGCTTTTTGGTTTGTATGATTCCTAATGGAAGAGGGAAAGAGTTCACGTGTAAGAAAGATCAGTGTAGTATCTTGGAGAGGGGACGAGGAAGAGAGACTCCGCATAACAGCTGCTACTGATATGATTTTCTGAAAGATGCACTAAACTGACATCTAAAGTGGTAAAATCAATAAATGTATTTGTATTTTCTATCCTGGCCTTTTCCATTGCTTTGTTTCAATTTTAACCCTGGTGTATTTGATTTAATAGTTCTAACTTCTAACCATGCATAATTATTTACAGGTCTTGTACCTTTGCTGATTTTTGCTATCACTACATATGGTTCTTAACATCTAGTATAGTTGGTGTAACACATCTAACCATGCAGATTAGTCATAAGACTATTGTTGGTTTTGGATATTACCACATTTCACTTCTTAATGCAGCCTGTAACTAATAATCTACTGATCTTCTCTTCCTTGAAAAAAGCTCTGTTTTTGTGATAAATACTATGATAATAAGATTTTTTTTCTTGTCATTTAGGATGGAAAACCAGCTGTCAATGCTCTTGTAGGAGGAGAAACAGAAGCATTGCAGAGACTTCAGAAGTTTGCAGCTGAATGCCACTCACAACCAAACAAGGGTGGTAACGATAGCAGCCGGGATAGCATATATGGTGCCAATTTCTCTTGCAAAATCTCACCATGGCTAGCTATGGGCTGCCTCTCTCCCCGTTTCATGTTTGATGAACTAAAGAAATCCGCAATCAGGTTTGGATCAATCGATATTTTTGTTCTATGAAATATTTAATATATTAGAGTTGTCAAGAAATATTCTTACTTGGAATGACATTGTGCCTTCTAGAACAATATCTGCTGCTGCACCCAGGAAAGATGGTGGTAGTGGCTCATCTGATACTGGAATGAACTGGTTGATGTTTGAGTTGTTATGGAGAGATTTCTTCAGGTAATGTGCTGGCTTTAAGAACTTGTCTTTCATTGGAAGTAATGTTTACCTGTGTTCTACCATTCTTTGAACAAGAACAACATTTTCACTTCCTATAGTTAATGACCAATAATGATCCTGCCACTTTTGAAAAATAGGTGGAGTTTATTGTGTTCGTTAATGTTACCTGTTAGATTGTGATAACCATCTGCCATCAGTACTAATCTACATGGGCCAGTGTGGTGGAGAGACCTGCAACATGGAACTCCATACTTTCTGAAAACCTGTCTCAAATGCATGTCTACTGTATGTTGTTAATTGTCAAGAAATGCGGTGGACTATATTCTGATAAAACATACTGTGGATGTTTGTATAAAAAATACAGTGGATGTTTCAGTGGAACAGAGTCTAGGGCCCCTTGAGCCCAGTACTGAGTATTAGTTTTTGTCACTAATGGAGCTTTTTTTTTTTTTGATCAATACACTAATGGAGCTTCATTAGTCTGCTATTTCATATACTGTTATTTGGTCATCAGCTCAAAGGAAGATAAAGTATGACCCTTTGCAGTCCATTAAAACCTGTCTTCTAAATCTTAGTAATGACTGTCTGACATTGGGCCAACCCTTAGATAAACTGGTTTGAACTGCTGAACTGCCAGGTCAAATGTAATTTGATTTTCTTTCACTTTTTCTTGTACACTTCCTATACCAATAAATACTGCTTACACATGTATAATGGAACACCTGTCACAGTGATTGGTTAGTGTAGGAAATCCAAACTATGTCAAATGGGGCACACAGATATACTTCCAGTTTAACTAGATCTTTATCAGCTGAAGATATCAATTACTGTTACGGAGGCTGGATCATCTTGGCCCATGCAGGGGTTTGATCCGTCTATGCATCAGTACCTTGATTAAAATGTCTATTTGAGTATTCCTTTATAAATCCCTAAACTCGTTTTTCATATCTATTTCAGGTTCATCACCAAGAAGTACAGCTCTACTAAGAAGCAACTTGATGGTGCTCCGGCCACGGCTTGCACGGGTGCCCTTGCATGAAAGAGAACTCATAGAATGGAGATAAAAGGATAGTTTAAATTACAAGGTAGATAGAACTTGGTTATTTCCTTCCATCTCTATGATCTGGCTCAAAAATGTTTGTATAGGGTTGAAAACTCATCTGTATTTGGGTTTAAGTTTAATCTGCTTTAGGGGACACGACTTAGACATTGAGGATCCGAGATTTGGTGCCGTGGACATTTTGTATGTATATCCTCGAATTAGTTACAAAGTCAACATGGGGATATACACGAGGTCTACTTTTTATCCTTCCCACCATTTTCCCAGCCTGCCCTTCTTTATTTTCTGCTTTTGTAGTTGTGGCTGAAATGGGATTGTTATCATCTCATCAGGAATAAAAAACATTTGATATAGTCTTTAGTAACTACTGCAATCCTTCTTATTGCAAATATCTTGAAGCAGTGTAATGATTCAAAGTGCATGACCAGAAAAAGTGGAATTGAATATGTAGTGCAGACACCCAAGCACTGGCTAGTTTCTTAATACACAACACAGGGAAGACTTTGAACATTGGACAACCATTCACAAAACAAGCGACAAATTGTTCTGTGGTCTTCAATCCTCTTTGCAGCAAAATTTTTTGATTTCTGCCCCTTCTACATGGAAATAAATACTGCTGAAGTAGTGAAGTTAAATTGAAAATTACCGTCTATGGAGACAAGCGCTTAATGACTGATCAAGTCGGCGATGAGTCGATGACTAACTGCCAAGGGCCCAAGGTTGCATTACATCCTGCCCTATGTCAACCAGAGTCCGCTTTCTTAATCTGAACGACTTTACCGTCGTTGTTCAGAAAACTGAAAATTGAACAGAGTGTTTATTAACAAATTCCGCCCTGCAGCTGCACTTGAATTGGGAAGAGAGAAGAAAAGCTGGACAACGCAAGAAAAACGACTTATGTCGATTGTCGAAAACTTGAAATTGCTAATGAGTAATGACCAAGTGCATTGTGAAAAGACACAACTATCCTTTTTCTTATCATGCTTCCTATACTCTTTATCTATTACCAAGTTTCAGACACTTGGTAGGGAGAAAGGGTATTACAATAACATACAACAAATGGCACTTAAATGATGTGATGTAACATAGTGTAATGCACCAGGCTCCCACCAATGTGGATAGATGTATGTACCCTTATCCCTATGCATACATAGAGGGAGGGTTTGTCCGTTTCCTCTCAACTCTTATCTCTTAAGAGGAACCTTTTACTTTAAGAGAAAAATGATTGTTTGTTTCCTCTTATCTCTAATCTCTTAAAGTGCAATCATACAATTTTTTGTTTTCTAATGATACCTTAAAAAGACAAAGCAAAAAATTTCATATATGGGGTCAAAATGGATATTTGATAATTTTTAGAATCCAGAATTCATAACATTCTTTACATTCAGAGTTCAAAGAAGAAAAATTTACCAATACCAATATACCTCTTAATGTAGTTATTACACTTTTAGATGTCATACTTTAGAGCAAACGAACATGCCCGGAATTTGGATTAGTTGAACCAGACCAATGATGAGGTTCCATGCCAATAATAAATTCATGGGCCTTATTGTAAAAGATACGGGCCCATGTATTTAATATTGGCGTGGCACCTTATGAATGCTGTTTTCAAGATTTGAATCATGGTCATCCAAGTCACAATGGAGCAATCATCCAACCATTGTGCCAAGGCTTACCCTCTATATACCACTAACTGCATTGTACTTCAAGGCAATTTGTACTAAAACTTTTGAAGCTTCAATTCTAAAAGTCAACATAAGGAAATTACTTTCTTTTTTATGTTATTACAAAAATCATCTAAATCTCTCATCTCCTATCTTCACATCAATAGAGAAAAGGCGACTATACCTTTCAAATTCCAAATCTAAGGTGTGTGTATCTAAGATTGAAGAAAGGTAGACAATGAACAAAGGAACTGAGATCTTATACAAGGTAGATCAAGAAGAAACTAACAACAAACATTAATCTCATAGGGACGAATATAGTTACAAATTGAATGAATAGTGGTACAAATTACAAAGCATGCAATTATACAAATATTGAAATTATGAAATATACAATGATTGTATACTTCATAAACTTCATACTTGGATGAATGAAATATGAAAATTGAATAAATTAATAAAATATAAAAAATACAACATAGAATTATAGACTATATAGACTATATAGTTACAAATTGAAAATACAAAACTACATTAATAGAAAATAAATTAAATAAAATTAATAATAATTTGACAAAATAAAAAATTATGGGTTATATGTTAAAGTTTACAATTTAAACAAAATTTACATATACATTATGATGAAAGCATTCACACACACTTTCATCATCTGCTTCAGGTGAAAAACCAAATATCCGATGTATGTAGTACTGTAGTAGTCTGTAGTATCATGCCCTCTTTTGTCTTGTAATTGTAAAGTTGTAATTTATATTATGCATCATGATTCAAAACTGCATCTAGCCAACCCTGGTAGGCTGGTACAGTGGTAGTACTATAGTGTGGTACCTACAGGTCCTGCACTAAAACAACTAAACAAGACTCCAATGGAACTATAGCCTGTAGACACCAAAGGGGTTAGTAGGTCATGGATCACGTGCCATGGCGGGATTGGCGGCAAGAAATGTTCTCTGAGACTCCGACTTCTCCCAATATTTTTAAAATTTATTTTCCATTAACATTATTTCAAAAATTCATTTAAGTTGTGGGTTATTTCTTCTTCCTTCTCATGTGTGAGAAATGTCTGGTCAAATGGCCAGTACCACCCTTGCTATAATAGCTAAAGTCTTTTTTACATTTTTGGCAAACTATTATTTTCCCCTTCTCCTCAACATCCTCTATTTTAAATATTTTCCAAATCGGGCTACTAAACTTGGGGTTTTGGGAAGAGTTGGCCATTTTTTTTCAAATTCTAAAAAAATAAAATTAATTTAATTGGACTTACCCCAGAATCTCAAATTGTCGGTTCAGAATCCCATATTCCCAACTTGATTTCAACGGTTAAAGCCTTTCAACGTGACAACGTCCAAGGCTCCAAGCCTCCCAAATTGTTTGTTAGACAGTTTTGTATGCCCTTAGCTTCAATCAGAATGATATACTTTATGAGTTTACTGTAAATGAATAAAAATACATATTTGATTCATGTTACCTTGGTATGTTTCTGTGTAATACCCTTAAACTAGACACTTAATGAGACTCGTGTTAATTTAGAATATTCACAGCCAGTGGGTCGGTTTGGGGAGACCTATCCTGATAAGGCTAACACTGTTGTGCCACCAAGTCGGTTGGGGTGGCCTGTCTCAATTGCCAGGGTGAGACCCTAGGTGCATACAGTGTAGGATTAATTGAA